ACAAAACCTGAATTTAAATCAATATTCTAATCAGCTTCATCATTAATAAAATTATCTTCAAAATTATCATTTTCATCATTGATAGAATCATCTTCAAAATTACCATTTTCAGCATTGATAAAATTATCTTCAAAACTTTCATTATCAGATGATAGATTTATATTTTGCTCAATCTAAAACTGCAAAAAAGGTTAAAAATATTCGACATAATATAGAGCTGTTTAAAAAAAAATATTTACAGGTTGTTGTACAGTTGTATGAGGTAAAGATAATTCTATTGAGTGAGGCTTGTGTTTTCGACGTGCTCTCCATCTTCTTTGTTTTACTGTATGTCGTGATGGTTCTAAAAAAAAAGAGAATAAGTGACTCGAAAAAAAAAGAATATTATAGGTAAAAATTTACACTACCTAAATCAGGAATAATATTACAAAAAAAAACATTACTTGAATCTTCTTGATCGACGTCCATCAGAAAAAAAATTCTAGAAAAAAAAAAGATGTTAATGCTAGATACAATTCTTTCAAAAAAACTAATTGTTATTTGTATATGTTAGTCCTATCTGTATAACCAATAGAAAAAAGATAATCGATAGATGTCTTTTCAATACGATCGATTATCTTGAAATGTTCCTTACCTCACAGTTTCATTATTGTAAATGAATAAAAGTAACGATCGTACGTCTATATATAGAAGTATTTAAACAAAGAGATCACGTGCAATTGATCTTGAAGACTAGATACGAATATAGTAAAAGGAGAAAAAAGAAGCTTGTCTGAACTTCAAGAAATTTAAAATATCTTGTGATTCTTTTCAGATTCTTTTTTTTCTGATCAATCAGACAAGATACTTGTCATCATGAATTCCATTCAGGATTCTTTTCCAGAGGAAAGGAAAAAAGATTCTTGTCTGAACTTTAAAAAACCTTAAATATCTTGTCATTCTTGAGTGATTCTTTTACTTCTGATTAATCAGACAAGATTCTTTTCATCTTGAAATTCTGGTAAGAATCTTTTTTCTTTCCTGCCGATAAGAATCTTGCGTGAACATTATGATTGAAAAGAATCTTGTCTGATAACCACGAAAAAAGAGAATCTTACAAGAAGTAAGGCAAGATCGTCGACTAGTGATATATATATATGTCAGATTAGTAAGGTGAAGGAAAGAAATAGTTTTTAATATTCTAGACACGTAGCACAAGACATTACCATACCTTTTACGATACAAATTTTAGAAGATATGAGAAGCGTGTACATCATGGTGAAAAAAAAATCATCTAAATAAACACCTATGAAAAAAATCGTCCTTCTTGTTTATGACAAGTTAACGATGAAAATACTTCCATGATGACAGTAACAGCCCAAAGAAGTAAGATGACGTCTCATCATTTTTAAACTAGACCGAGCTCAATAACTGTCGTCCATTTCAGAATTAAATTGTCGTGTTTATTTTTTAAAATAACTTTTAATCGATTAAGGCTATCGCGTTGTGGATTATGTGGTTGGAAACAGCAGATTCGAATGTATTTTTTTTTGTATAACTTATTTGAATGTATAGAAAGATTTGTACGACTGCTTATACGTCAATATAATATCTTTGTGTTTTCTCAACGAGTTTTTTTAATATTCAAGTTACCGTTATATCATGCCATAGTCGGAATTCTCCTATAAATACGGTAAAAATTACCATGCATCCTAGTGACGTTGTTGAACAAATGAGATAAAAAAAGTTGATATGAAAATATTAAAATTTTTATCGTCTGTACAATGGAACTTCGACTGCAATTTGGTATAACGAAAATTAGTTTCAAATAAAAAACTCATTGCAAAAACATAACAATAATATATCAACGTATAAATAGTCGTAAAAGAGTTTCTATAGACTCGAATCAGTCATAAAAAACGATACATTAGACTCCATTGTTTCTGACTGCACAGTCCCGAGTTTCATAACCTTACAGTCGACCAAAACTTATTTAAAAAATAGCTACGACTACTTAATTGTGAAATGGAGAATGGAATTTGTTTCATTTAGACAAATCGATTTCGAATTACATTTATTATGATAAATGACATCACCAAAAGCATATGGTGAAGTATAAAGAATGTCAAAATTATATGATTGAAATGGATTCCTTCGATGTCGCACGAACTATTGATATTCTTCAATTAAAAATTACGTTCGAAATCAATCGATTTGTTTCTGTTTCTGACTTCCAAAATGAAAACTTATATTTATTTTTAGATAAAATATTTTAATCTTCGGCATATGATCAACAATAATTCTTTTCTAATCATATGGATTTAAATGAAATCGTCGTAGTTGAATTGTTAAATGAGACAATATTTGTACTTTTTTTTTTGAAAAACATAAATCATTGAATATACAAAAACTTTAAAAAAGTAGTTTTTAAACAACTTATCGATGTAGCTACAGTATTGAACTGTACAGAATCTTTACATTTGATTGTTATGCATAATTAACGAAGAGAAGGTACGCATTTAGAAAATGTGAGATAAATTGCCTAGATCATATTTTAGTATTTCGGAGTAACAGGCATTTGATTAAAGGTGAAAACGCTGCTATTTCAAAAAACCGCATACATCTAGAAATAAGATAATTGACATTATAATTCTTTAATTTCGATCGATTCCAGATATATTTAATTGAGAGAACAAGATCTCGAATAAGGATATAACATGTTCAGTTAGTGATATTGAAATTTGTAAGATTAAGAATGTCAGGACGAGAGAATGTTATTCGTTTTTATAAATCTAGTGAACGAATGGATTACATCCTCATCTAACTGACACAATCATGCTATTTGATCTATAATATTAGATGGAAGATATTGGTGACGAATAGTGTCATAAATATGTTTTGATATTGACTGAAAGTTGGAATGATTTGACCCAAGATGGATAGTAAGAAGATTGAAGACATGAGCATTGAGACTATACAAGACATGTAGAAGATGAACACTAGCACTGAATTCGAATAATGCAAAAATCAATTCATTTTGGAATTCGTCAAATTTCATTGTGTTTAGCTGTTTAATGAGTCATCGGAAAGTTACACGACTGTTATTTACTTAATCTTTCTGTGACAAAGATACATAGTAAAAAGGAAAAAAGTATTGATTGTATTCATAATCGGATATTGGACGTTGTACCAAGGAGATCAATTTTTTATCTATCAAAGTATATTTTTAAATATCACTTTCTTTGAATATAGGTGAGACTATGGAGTACAAGTATGTATTCTTGAACAGAACATTCACATTCACATAGATGCAAATTAAAAGATAAATATAGAGTGATAGACAACTCCGCACACTTTCAGAATATGGTAGTAGTCTTTAAAAAATACATATTATTATAATAATGATGCACTCAAAATATCGAGTATTACTATTTATTTCCAAGGAGAATACATTCGACTGAAATACTATATACGTTTAACTATGACACTTCGTCAATGTTTTATTGTTGTGACTTATTCTCTTCCATTGTAATACATTAGTGTTAACTTTTTATCTTTGAATTTAGTTCCGCTTTTGATATAAATCACAATTTCCATTAGCTGACTGATTGCATATCCATGGTTGTAATATGGCTTCGGTTTTTTCCCCACAAATCATCGCTAAACAAATATGAGTTATGATTCTTTTCAAGTGGAGAAAAATACCAAGTTAAATTGTTTGATCAAGCCAAACACTCATCGTCTTCTTCGTGCGTCTTATCAAGTTTCAGATCGTAAAAATCTCATTATTTCTGGGTATTTTTATTTCTTTTTCGTTTCACACAAACGTTCTAGACTGGCAACAGCTGAAAAGAATTTTTTTTTGCTTTCATCATGTTAGTAGTCAAGAAGAAAAAAAACAAGCGTAGAATAAGCACATCAAAGAAGGGCTTTGTGCATACTTTTCATAATCTAATCGTCATAATATAAATCTTGTTCTTTTTAAGAATAAAAACAAAAGCTCACACGTCAGTGTCCTGTTTTTTTTTCTAATTTCAGAAAGAAAGAAAGTATTTACTGGTGGAACTTTCCAACTATTTCGTTAAGCCTATTCGGTTCCTTCCAGCAATTACATCTTTCAATGAGTTATAACTGATATCACTATTTCCAACATTATAAAGACTATAAATATATTCACACAATAGACATTCATCTTACAGTTCACAAGCAAGCATAGACAAATAACATGCCTCTGTTATCGTGCATCGAACGACAAGTATCGGAATCAAATAAGAAAAAAACCTTACCAGTTTCTCCATCATCTCCAGTAAGCACCACACCACAGACACCGAGTACTTACAACGAAGAGAATTCTGTCGATTACACACCCAGCATTCAACAGCAGATTAATGGTAATTTGCTTACATTTTTGATTAAAATGTTCAATCATTCTTCAAAATAGGTTTCAAACTTCAAAAGATGTTTCGTTCAATGCTCCTAGAGATGAATGAAATGCGAGAGCGACATTCCAAAGAATATAAGCAGTTGAGCACAAAGTGGGAAAAAAAATTTCAACGAAATCAGTCTTCTTTTGGATACTATGAAACGACATTGCAACTTCTCATAGCTGCAAGCTCAATCAGCTCCGAAATAGCTCGAAACTTGGATGATACCAATCCAAGTCTTAAAAGCATTGCGAAATCTATACCAAAAAACGAACAATATCCATCTCTAGAAGATCAACTGCAAAAAGAATATCAGGTGTTGAAGGAAACCGAAGATGAATTGAAAACATTGCAGAGACAAGAAACACAGTGTCGAACGTGTTTGGAGAATATCGTTCAGAGTCTGAAGAAAACTTCTTCGAGTGAATCAGAAAAGACGAAATTGAAAGCACGAAAAAAGAACAAGCAAAACCAATTGAAACAATTGGAAAAACAAATAAAATTGGCCACAGAAAATTGTGAAGAAGTCAGAGAAACCTATTCGATAAACACAGCAGCTATATTCAAAAAAAGTCAGGAGGACGAACTCAAACGTCTTCAATCATTCATGGCTCCGTTGCGAAAATTTCTTAAGGTTCTCAACATCGAGTGTGATGCATTCAATGAAGCGCAAAAAAATCATAATCCTCAACAAGATCTTATTCACTGGAGAAAGAATAATTATCTTGCACATTTCGATAACAAGCTATAAAATCATACAATACTATAATTAGTATTAGATTACCAGTAAAAATTGTAATTCTTTCTTTTCTATTCAGTTCTCAATAAAGTTTCGAATCTGCATGTCATAATCATGAAATTTTGATAATGAATAGTTAACGATTGTTTGCCTATATATTGGTGAAGACAAATATGAATTTGAGATATGCATAATGTTTTTGAGTATGAATGTGGATTTATATATTACTCTTCTATTTGAAGGACTCTTTTCGTTTGCATGAATTCGATTGACGATTCGTCATTGTCTATCTATTGGCAATACTTTCCTATTGTTAGATTTGTTTTGCACACTCGTTATTTCATTTACTTTAATGTTGAATTTGTATCAATTCAGTGTGTTTTCTTCTATATTTAGACAAAGCAGAAATATGGATTATTCTTATGTTGGGGTTGGGATAATGCTAATCAATAACGAATTAATCAATTAAGAGAGAATTCATAATTCGAGAACGTTGAGTTTACATTAGAAAGAATTCAAGTAATCATGTAATGTTTTTTGACCTTGATTAACACCTATCATCAGCTGTGTGAAATCAATTACTTTATATTTAATAATTCTGTTCCTATATACACCCCTGGGGAAAAGTCATTCCCCCCCCCCCCCCTTTTTTTTCAAACTTTTAATATTTTCTTTCTTTTTATTATCAAACTAAAGTACAAGAAGATGTTTTATTTTAATATGATGTATAGTCACCATTTGCTTCAATTAAGCACTGTACTCGTCTGCCCATACTATCGACCAATTTGACAGCCAAGTTAACTGGCAGGCCTTTCCATGTCTTTCTTATTCCTTGTTCCAACTCTTGAATTGTTTGAATGTTTTTTTACCTATTGTATCCTTCATTATCGACCAAACGTTCTCAATAGGGTTTCGATCAGGTGATGCAGATGGCCAAGGCAGAACTTGAATTTGACTGTCGGTCTTCCAGTCAATCGCTTGCTAAGACCTGTGTTTAGGATCATTGTCTTCTTGTAGGATCCAGCTATCTGGACCTTCAGGAAATTGACGATAAGCAGTAGGCAGAAGACAGTTCTCGTATATGTCGCACATAAAATCGCCTGTCAAATTATGTCTGAAAATAATTAATTTTCCGAAACCTTGTTTTGAAAAACATCCCCAGACGTGCAACTTGAGAGGATATTTAACTGTACGGACAATTTTAGTAACAACCTGTAAATCGCCAAACTTTTCTTCCGTTTTTTTTAAGCTTGAATGTCTTCTCATCGGTAAAGATCACGTTGTCCCAATTGAAGTGTTGATGTTGTCGAGCCCAAATGAGTCGTTGCTCACGATGTTTGTCTGTGAGTAAGGGTTTTTTTAAAGGTGGACCATAAGTTCCACCACTTTCACGTAATCGACGTCTAACAGTACTTGGATCTATATTCACGCCGTCTTTTTTTAAAACATTTGAAATATCACTTGATGTAATATTCTGCTCACGTTTAGCAATATTAACAATCTTTAAATCTGTTTTCTTCACCCTCTCACCCCTTCGACCAGTTTTTGGTAAATTGGATAGATCTTCCTTTTCTTGCCATCTGCCAAGCCAATACCGTACGGCTTTTGGTTCACATCCAATGTACTTTGAAATCGCTTTGTTTGACATTTTAGGACCCAATGGATGTAGCTTGAGAAACACAATTTCATAGCGTTGTGATAGAGAAAGTGGCATGTTTAAAAACTTATGAAAGAATAATGATAAAAATTATTCCCAATATCAGTCCATATTTTACATATTAACAATTATTACATAAGATTGGGTCATCCAAATCAACAAATAGAAACAAAGAGAAGCAAGAGGGACTATCGTCTGTAGCCGTACTTATGTTATACATTAGTTCGATAATAAAAGGAAAGCAAATATTAAAAGTTTGAAAAAAAAAGGGGGGAGGGGAAGACTTTTGCCCAGGGGTGTAGCTATGGCAAGAGAGTAAATAGGCATATAGAAAATAGAAGAGAAGAATATATAAGAAAAATTATCTCTTTTGAGAATGAGTCTAATTATTATTTTATCCACTTCTTTTAAACTAGCTAATTAGTTCATTTTCTTGTAACGATCTGTAATGGGGAAGCTCCGTGCATGGACACATATCCAATAATGCATGGTTATTCGCCATATGCTTGCTAAGGAGACATAGAAGTGCACCCAGTTCTTATTGTCCTCCGTTGCTGGGGAAATGTACCCAATGACCTTTGATCCTGATTGCTAGGGTCTGTAATGGCGGCCTGGGGGCGGGGTGGGGGGAGAGAGCTGTAATACCTCAATTTAAAACTTACACTCACTATTTTCTTCGAAAATATACGTGAGTTACACAAAAAAGATAAAGTAGTAAACCCCTTTCTCCCATTAATAAAATCTTTTTAAACTCTTAACCCTTTCAATCCCGCATGACATCTCGTAGATGACATGCATATCATAATATAGAAATTTTGCGTTCTGTCGTCTTTCTACATGATACATATCATATGTGTGTTCAAAGAAACACATGTATTCTTCGATGTGAAAATATTTTTTTTCGCACTGAACTAGTGTAGTTAGAATTCGTGTACAGCTGATTATATAGATCAAAACGCAAGAGAGAAAGAAATCTAGATTTTCTTCAGGTTTATATAAAATGAGAGAAAATGTCGGGATTGAAAGGGTTAAGAGTTTCTTATGCACTGCACTTTTATAAATCTTTCAAAGAGAACATGAGTTTCATAAACACTTAAATAGAACCATAAAGGCGATCATCAAAAGGATAGATGAGAGGATTCATGGAGCTCATCAATCGTACTGAGGTTTTACGAACAGTTGTAAATAAATGATCGCGGATGTCATCAGCTCTTGCGAAAGTTTATGATGGAACACAGATAAACTTCCAGCGGATGTGGGTATCCTCTTCATCAACATCAACATCCCTACATCTATAAATTCAGTTGATGTGATGTGTTGACCTATGACAGCTTGAATTCATCAACTCAGATCAAATGAACTAATGACTTGTTGAAAAATGTTTCAATGACGGAAAAAAGCTTTTAAACTAGGAGAGCCGTTTCCCAAAATAGAATGAACATTCTTCGAACATTTCAGAGCGAGAAACTGAAATGTAGAAACTGATCAGTCTCTATCAACAAAGCTGTTCAAATAATTCGCCAGTTTGTAGCTTTCACCTAACTATCCTATGCCTAATCATGCGAGAATGGGGTTTGAATGTGAATGAATGCTATTTTTCTTTTCTTTCACAAATCTACACCCATACCGACACTCATACACACCGACATTGACACCCACGTCCACACCCACACGTACATATACCTCCATTCAATAAAAGAAAAAGTTTGCGTTTCTTTGACATGGTTTATGTGATAATAATAGATAAAACTTTTGGATAATTCGAAATTTCGCACAATATTTTCAAGTATAAAACTAGTGGGCATACTATACTTAAATATAGAAGAGTGTGGGTGAGAGTTGAGAAAAGAACAACAACCACACCCTACTTTTAGCTAATGAAGTTAGATTCATGTTCGAAAAGAAAATAAGTAGAAATTTTTCTCCATTCAAAACTAAATTTCGTATCACTAGCAAAATGCAGTGTGACTTTTTTTTGAGCAGTCATCCACTAAAGCTGATTAACACAGATAAATCATCTCCATCCACCAAATCTTTGGGAAAAGTATTTTATTCAAACGGCTACTTCTCATTTGCGAACATAATTTTAATTTGACTTAGTTGCTTTAAAGTTGTTTTAAATTTTCGTTTCAAAAAGCTATTTTTATTATGTTGAAGTTTTAAAAATAAATTTGATTCATGCACATATCAATTTTAAAAGTCTATTGTATAAGCTACGAAAAGAAGAGACTATGAAGTTGAAAGTTTAATTGTAGCTTCTTCTTTTTTAGTAGACAGATTTTGTAAGTTGTAGAGGGCGTGAAATTTATACGATAGAAAATTTAAGATTTGTAAAAAGATTCTTGTCATTTGTAGAGGACGTTAGATTTCTACAATGGAAAATTTTAAATTGAGGAAAAGTTTTGTAATTTGTAGAGGGCGTAAGATTTTTTAAATAAATTGATTGAGACTCATAAGAATTTTCTGTAATTTATAGAGTGCGGTAGTTGATGATTAGTTTTCTTGTGTTTCATTGAAATTATGATTTGTAGAGGGCGTAAGTTCTTTGCTCATTGAGCAATTTGAATATCCAATAGCTTGATGCAGTTTATACAATGATACAATGTGTGTCAATTCGAAGTAGTGTTTCCAATAACAAATGTATAGAACCAATGTAAAATGTAGAGGACATATGGTCTTTTTAATGTAGACTTTGTTTTACATTTTGCTTAAAAAAAGAAAATGTATAGTGTACATTTTTGAAATTCAATTTACAATTTGATTCTATAATATGGAATATTGTATTTATATATAATACAAATAACATTCAAATTTTTTTTTGTATGACATAGTAGACTGATATCTTCGGTATAATTTCATCATTGAATAATACAGTTTTATATTAATGTATTTTATGTTTAGATTTTTTTTTGATGAATACGAAAAGTTCATGGATAAAACTCAATTGAAAGTTAATGAAATTTGGAATACAAATGAAATCTGAATAAAAGATGTTTCTAATGTCATTAATGACCAAATTCAAATGATATATTCAATTTTATTTTGATCAATTACAAATTCATATTGAACATCATCGATACGAGTTGAAATATGAAAATAAAAATAAACATATTTAATGATTTAGTGATCTTATATTTA